TGGCAACAAATGTACAAATGTGCTTGACACGATGGATGTATGGATTGTGATAAGAGTTGTATGAGCCCCAAATAAAATGATTTTTAAAAATTATGTTTATATGTACAATAAAAAAATCAGCACAAAATCCCCATTTTCCATTTCTTGCTTCTGTCACCAGCTGCAGATATAGCACCTCTTTCACTGATGCTAACCACCCAGAGCGATGTCAGGCCTCGAAAGTTAATGGACACAGTCCTTTAGACTGCAGGTAATCCAGATGCCAACCACACACTTGAGGGTCCCCAGGATCCCTTGACTTCTGACCTGCTAGTGACAAGTTGAGGGTTTCCCACCATCTCTTCAGGATGCCAGTTCCATGCTCAAGGGTTCACAGACTTACGGGCTCCTGCTACACCCTTGGGTTTGGTAAGTTACTGGAGCAACCCACAAAAGTCCGTGGAAAGTGCTCTACTTACAATTACAGATATGCAATGAAGGAAAAAATCAAGACAGGAAGAAAGGACACATGCAGAGCAGGGTCTAGGAGGGCTCCTAAGGTAGACCTTCTCTGTCCTAAAGAAGGTGCATCGCCCTTCTGAGAGCAAACGTTTCATCCACTAGAATGCTCCTGGAGTTTCAGTGTTCAGAGCTTTTACTGGGGCCCCATGACCTAGGCATGACTGATTGAATTCTGACCCCATCCCCGAGGACAGGGTAGTCTTTCTAGCCTGGCCAGCACCCACCAAAAAGCTATCTCATTTGTGTCAAGCTTCAGGTGTGGTCTATAAATCTATAGATAACAAAGGCACCTCAATTACTTATAAATTCCAAAGAAGACTGAGTTCTTTTATAAAAAGCAATTCTTTACCCTTACCCATTCCTTGTCTAATCAATTGCCCATTCCTTGTCTAATCAAGGATAGCTACCCTACACCAAAATCAAACCGAAACTCACTGTCAGCAAGTCTATTCTGACTCACAGCCACCACGCAGGACAGAGTACTGTTGCCCAGCAGGGTTTCCGATGTTGTAATCTTTATGGAGACCGGACCTGTCAAACTTTCTCCTGTGGGGCCACTGGTGGGTTCCATCACCCATCTTTGTGGAGGCAGCCAAGGGTCTGCCTACTGTGCCAACAGGGCTCCTGTTCTTCACCCCACAGTGTGACTCTGCCCATGTGCAAAATGACACTAGGTTACCTAATCAATTTGGCTTGGCTAACTATAAATAGAAGGAGCCCTGGTTGCCAAGTGGGTTACACGTTGGACTGCTAACTGCAAGGTCAGCAGTTTGAAACTGCCTGCTGCTCTGTAGGACAAAGCTGAGGTTTTCTACTTCCAAAAGAGTACAGTCTTGGGAATCTAGAAGGACAGACTCCAGGGGGACATTAGTGGGGCTGTGAGGCGAGGCAGCAGGAGGGACAGTGTCTGGGGCAGTCCTGTCCCCAGTGCAGAGCAACATCCAGCCCTGTGCTCCTAGGACCTTGAGGAGTCAACACACTCACGGGCTTTGTCCTGTACGAGGCAAACTGTGGACTGTCCGGTGTCTCTTACCCCACCTCTCATGTCTGTTCCTGCTTCCAGTTGGTCACGGATCACACTTCTCAGGGTATAGCTAGTAGAAAGGGCAGTGAATTCCAGAACACAGCGAGGCCCATAGAAGTGGCCGTGAAGCCCTCTGTGATAATAAAAGCTTGGTGTCCATTTGGTTCGACCAGGATTTTCAGTGGGTTGGTAGTTAAGGCTTAGTAGTGCCCCATGATGAGACCTCCTGGAAGGTGTGGCCTGCTTCCAATATAAGTAGACCCTGTGTAAAAGCTTGCTTGCCTTTTGTTGGGTCCAGATCCTGGGTCTAACTTATTGACCTTCAGTTATTTGCATTTGAGCCATTGGCTTGCCATATTGCCTGCCGATCCTGGGAATGATCAGCGACCTGATAACCTTGGATTCATTTGCCTCTGCAGGAAGAAACTTGTCTTCCTGCCGATCTTGGATTCATCAGTTACAAAAGTCAGAAGCCTCCAGCCTAATATCTGACCCTCTGACTTGGAACTTGCCCACCCCTACAATTGTATGTGCCATATCCTTGAAATGAAACTCGATCTCTCTCTCTCTCCTTACACACACACACACACACACACACACACACACACACACACACACACACCATTGGTTTCACTGCTCTAGAGAACCTAGCCTAAGATCATATATTTTCATGTTTTCTTCCCCATGGTCTTTATGCACAAGAGCCAAAGAATGGTTGATAAAGCCATGTTTGAAATTTTAAAAATTTTAATTAAAAACCCCCCCAATAACAACAACACACGCAAAGTCACAGGTTGGACACAGAGAGGGCGATGTGGCACATGAGAGGTCTAGTGAGAAGAGAGTCTAGCTTCCCCTTGGGGAAGCTGAGTGGGCCAAGGCTTTAGTTTAGGATGTAAGGATTCCATTCCAAAGCTGCTCCCAGGCCTATGGATGGGTGAGTTGGTAGATGATTCCTCCCCTTATGTTGATACCACACCTAGGGAGCTGGCATCCTCCCTCAGGCATGGGTTTTAGGCACTTTCAGTGAGGGTCCGTTTCAGGACAGTAAATGAGGCCAAGCCTCTCAGGGATGGGAACAGGGGAAGAGGCGGGCCAATGATTCTAAGCCTCTTGTCGGTATCATGGCCTGGGAGCTTCCACAGTCCAGCGAGGCCTCCCTTATCATTGCTTTCTTGGGCCTCTTGAACCACACATGAGAACTACAGTGATGAGGAGCCCCTAGCCATAGTCTGCCTCCCTATGGAGGCTGAGTTCCCAGGGAGGCCAGACCTTAGCAGTGCCCAGAGCAGCAGCTTCTTTTCTTAGCAGGGGTCAAGGTGGACTGACAGCCTCCAGGAGGGAGGGGAAAAAAAGCAGCAGTCCTGAGTGAGTGACTCTGGTGTAGGTTGTGGGGTTCAAGCAAGGTGAGGGGCTCCAGGGACAGGGTGGGGATGTCTGTATTCCTGCTCATCCCAACACCCTCCCCCATGAGCTTTCAATTCAGTGGACTCATGGAAGAGGCTTGCCTGACTCCTCAGTGGCGCCTTCCCATCTTTCGGTGGGTGGCAGTGGGTATGGGAGGCTTCCAGGGTCCTTGCAAGGTGGGGAGTCTTGCCCAAGTGCAGGCTGGGAGCACCTGGGGTACCTGTGATGTAGGTCTGCAGCAGGGCCGACAGCCTCCTGGGACCTCTGATTTCACTGGCCTAGCATGCAGGCCTTCTTACAGGCCACGGCAGAGATGAGGGCTGCCCCCCGGCCGCTGCCCTCCTCAGACTGGATGAAGGTGATCTCACAGCTGGGCGTGAGCCTCCGCACACTGGCATGGAAGCGGTCCTTGAAGCTGAGGATGAAGGAATCAGACCTGGCCATTGCCTCCTCCCTTCCCTCCCAGCCCCCACCTCCCCACGCTCTAGCTGCCAGGGGTAAAGCTAGGGAATGGAGCCAGCCTTGGCCAGGGCCTTTCCCCTACAGCGGGGCCAGGGAGGAAGGTAAGGGGAAGAACAAGGGTTCCTGTGAGCTGCAAGGGAGCTTGGGAGGGCACCTGTTTTGGTTATCTAGTGCCACTATAACAGAAATACCACATTTTCTCACAGATTAGGAGGCTAGAAATAAGAATGACAGGGGAAGGCTGTCTCCATTTGCTCTGCAGGAAGGTGCTTGTTTCTTTGAACGTGTTCCCGGGCAAGCTTTATGGGGTGCAATTTCTCTTCACCATCTCCACTCTGCTTGCTTGGTATAGCTTAAAAGAGATTGATTCCCAATATCTGACACTCTTTTGCCCTCAATAACATGATAAGGACAACCCATTCTCAAATGGGATGCTAACCACAGGCATAGAGGTTAGGATTTAGACCACACATATTTTATGAACACAACTCAATTCATAACACTCCACCCCTTGCTTGCTTCCCCCCACCCCCATCATATACAACCAAATTCATCTCATTCATGAATGAGATGCTACGCTAACAGATACCAAAAAATGTCCAAGTAATTTTAGACTTGGATAATGGGCAGTTTTTAAGATCCCTAATAGTGAAAGCCTAGATTGTCTTGAAGGAGACTTGGTAGGATTATGGATGTCAACAATTATTCTGGTGATAGAGTAAATCTCTATTGTCCTAGAGAATACGTGTGGTCCCCGAAGCACAATGTTGCCAGAGAGGCGGACGTTAACTGTGCTTCTGGTGAGCTTTAGAGGCAGCGATGAGCGTGTGAATGGTGAAGGGGGAGACGAGATGCTGCTGGTGCAGGGGCCTACCACTTGTTGGACTCGTGCTCAGAGGCTTGGTGGAAGGTAGAACTTGTAAGCGGGGCACTTGGAGATCGGACTCAGCTGTGGAGAATGTTGCAGGGTGTCCCAGGTTTCTCCTTGGCCCTGAGCAGTCAAATGCTCCGTGAAAAGTGAAATAAAAAGGTATACACTGAGGAGCACATGATGGGATTTTCTGATGGGATTTTCAACACAGGTGTGGTTACATGATCTGTTGTTAGATCAAACCTCAGTGAGTCGGAGGCACTAGGGTTAGAAGCAAAGAACAGTCTGCTGTGGAGGTGATTCAGATGAGATTTCGCACTCCCAGTTGATTGAGAGCTTTTGGGAAGAGGTGATGGGTAGAAGGAGTTTTGCATATGGTAAAGATGCCCCCCATACATCTTAACCTCTCTGCCTGCGGTGATAATCTGATTTGAGAATGAGTTGGGGGTTATGTTCATGAGGCAGGAGTCGTGTAAAAATGTCTTGGATGACCTTTTACAAGAGATTTAAAACGGAAAGGCAGATCGCATGAAACAGAGATGAGGGACAAAAGAAGCCCAACCAAAATGGTTTCTTTAGAGGCAAGAACCTTCCAAAGTCCGACAAGGGAACGCCTTCCCCGAGAGCCGGCACGTTGAATTTACACTTCCTGGCCTCTGAAACCACGGGAACATGCATTTCTGGTTTTAAAACCCACGCATTTGTGGGATTTCTGTTATAACAGCACTAGATAACTAAGCTAGCTGTCACAGTTAGGCCACCCCCACCCCCAGGGGGCAGGGTCGCGAGTGACCCATGCGTGCGGGTGGGCTCCTGTCGGGAGGAGGGCCCAGGGGCCCGCTGGCCTTCCCCTGCGCGGCGGGACCCACCTGGGGTGCAGCTTGTACACGGAACCATCCACGCCCACGGTGATGCGCATGACGTCCTCGCTGCGGCTCTCGCGCATGCGGTTGATGACGCCCGCCAGCCCCGCCGAACACATCTGCGCAGCCCGCGTGGAAACGCTCTCGCAGGCCCTGCGCACGATGTCGCAGTCGGTGGCCGAGGCGCGCAGCCCCAGGGTGCTCAGGATGTTGTAGATCTGCTTGCGGTCGCCTGTGTCACTGCAGGGCCATGGGGGTGGGGTGGGGGTGAGGGTCAGCCTCCTAGGCCCTTGGGCCTGCGCTTTCCCCAGCCAGCAGGGTAGGGGGTGTCGGTCTGAGCCCCAGGGGCTGGGATTGAGCCAGCAGAACCCTGATGGGGTTTGCTTCCCGAGACCCTTAAAAAGTGGGGCGTCCCCTGCCTACCTTGCCTCTGCGCAAAGCAACCCCGGCTGGGGAGCCACAGACCATCCAAATGCCATCCCTGTAAGCCCCCAGATCGCCTCTCTAAAAGTGGGGAGGCAACAACAAAGCAGCCGGAGCCTCTGCGAGGATGGAAGAGTGAGTCTCTGGGGGCTGGGGTAGGGCGTCGCCTGGTCTCCAGAGACCCCCCACCCCTCTACCTGCTTGGGCCCTTGCCGCGGGCTCCGGGCCCCACTGCGCACCTCTCCACTTGCGAGACGAAGCGCGTCTCGAAGGCGCCTCGCGTGCGAAGCTGCTCGGATGCCTTGCCGTGGAAGAGCAGGTTCTCGTCCACAAGCTTCAACAAGACTAGCCGCACTAGCTCACCCATGTACTTGCCACCGATGAGCTTCTCGTATCTGGGTAGAGGAGGGGACCGGGTCATCCTGATCAGGCCCGTCGTCGGCGCCCGAGTGAGAGATTCAAGAAGCGGGTGGGGACAAGGCTGGAGGGGGTGAGCAGGACCCCACAGCTCGGTGAGATCTCCTGAGACCTCAGCTCAGAGTTGAGGGTCAGTAAATAAATAAACATAATTTTGAGATGCATTGACTACTACGGACCCAATAGAAGTGTATGAGCATAAAAGATGAAGCTAATACAACAATCAGGACATGCTTGGCATAGATGGGACTCCCAGGTACCCCATATAGCTTAGCACGTGAGTCAGGTTGGACTCATCGCCACGCTATGCAGTGCAGAAGGCAACACGACCCAGTGCTGCGTCGTCCTTGAAATCATAATTTTTGAGCCCATTGTTGCAGCCACCGTGTCAACCCATCTCCTTGCTGAGATGTCAAAAACAAAACAAAAACACCCTCAAAACTCACAGCCAAGTTTCAGAGATGGTAGCTCTTTACCAGAGTAGAAAGTCCCACCTTTCTCCTGCAGGTTTCCAACTCCTGACCATGCCGTTAGCAGGCCAACACTTAACCACTAAGCTATCAGGGTTCCTCGGATATCAGAACTATTTTCCTAAGCTCTGAGAGGACTAAATCCCAGCCTGTGGTCGCTGAACCCTTAGAATTCCATAAAATCCTGAGATTGACTCTATGACTGTGGGGGGACATTTAATTGGAAGAACTCTGGGTTATGCACAATTCCACTTTCAGCTAAGCATTGGACTGCTAACCACAAGGTTGGTGGTTCAAAACCAACAGCTGCTACACAGGAGCAAGACGCGGCTATTTGCTTCTGTAAAAATGTGTAGCCTCCGAAACCTTACCCAGGGTTGCCATGAGGCGAAACTGAAATGGCGGTGGGTTTTGTCATTGTCGTTGTTTTTGTGGGTGGGCTTCTCAAAGACTGACTCTGCTAGTGCCTGGAGGAAATCTGCTAAATCTGTTGGCAGAGGAGCAGCCCCACACTGCGTGGCTCGAGGGTGAGCAGTCTGGATAGCAAGCCAGCTTATCCAAGAAGTGTCAATTTACACTTTTCCCCAGGCTGTTATAAAACAAGTGCTTTCCCTGGCAGGATGCCACCTGCAGCTCCAAGCCACCCCGAGGCCCAGAGCACCTCCAGGCCCTGGGGCTGAGGGCTGGGGCAGGACTGGTCCTTACAGTTGCTGACCGGGGTTCATGGAGGTCTCGTCCACTACACGGTCGTACTCCAGCAGGAACTCATCCAGCTCGCCCGCGTCCCCGAAGGCACCCCACTCGGTGTTGACGCACATGCGGCCCTCGTTCCCCTCCACCAGCTCCACGTTCTGCATCTCCTCCATGTAGCAGGCATTGCAGCCTGTGCCTGCAGCAGGGAGCCGTGTCAGGGCCCCTGGCTGGGCCACCCCCGCTGGGCTGGGTGCCCAGGAACGGGGCAGGGGCAGCACACCTATGGGTGAGGACTGACCTTCCCCAGAACCCTGTGTCTACAAGGTGTACCCCACCAGCAGGTCTTGTTCCTGCCCAGCTCCCGCCACTCTGTCACTGTCCTGTTTGTGTCACAGGGCTCTCCCTGTGGTGCCTGGAGTAACGGGAGATGGCTGTCACTGGAGACCAGGGTCCATGGTGTGTGTGGGTAGGTCCCACTGCTCTGGGAGTGCGGCCTTTTCCCTAAGAGGGGCAAGTAATGCTGGCCCCGCCTGTTAGGAGGTCATGGGGAGAATTGAGGGGAGGAACCTGAGTGTGAGTTACAATAACTGTGGAGACAGTCTTGTTTGCTCTCCTTCTGGCACCACCCTTGTTTTGAACACTACCCCCTCCCCACCCACACACAAACACACGAACACGGGAATTTCTCTGTCCGAGTCTGTGCTTAGTTGCACCGCAAAGTAAGGAAGACACAGTGTGGGTCCTCAGGGAACTGTGGGAGGTGACTACAGGCAATACAGGACAGGCAAAGTAAACACATGGGTCCCTGGTTCAAAAATGAAGAATTTCCAAATGGTGGCAGTAGACCATTAAGTCAAACGTGAAGCCCTTCACAGCAAGGATCCAGTGGGACTATATAGATATCTGGGTCCGCTAATTCAAGTCCCTCCACCAGCCTGGCTAGCCACCTGAGCAAGTCAAAGGTCAGAAAGACTGTATCCAAAAGTTAAGCATTCTTGTTTGGGTGCCAGATGTGAACCACAGGCCACCATCCCCTTTGCCAACTGTGCTTGTGGAGGGTCTCCCTGGGGACGACAGAGAGCCTGACCTGGCAAGAGCTCACATGAAGGGTTTTGGGAGGCACGTCTCTGGTTGGAAGGACTGTGGGGGCACAGCCAGGGGCTCTCCTGGAGCAGCTAGCTGTTCAGATGTTGGTCTTAAAGACAGCTTCACCTCAAATGCAGAAGGAAGATAAAAAATGCAAGAACCAAGGGAGGAGAGAGAAAAGGAGGTCCTGTTAGGATCTAAATCATCTATTTATCATCAAACTTATGAAATCCAGAAGCAGTATAAGGCAGGAACCGGTCAGAAGGGACACTTGAATATGTCCCACCAAAATGAGCGATAGAAAAGTGTAAGACCACACCCTGTCAATGGCGGAAACCTTGTGAGATCTGGAGAAACCAGGTAATTTCATCAGGTTCCGGCTCTCACAGGTTTCTCTCTCTCTCTGTGTGTGTGTGTGTGTGTCTGTGTGTGTACAAGAAGAGAGAGGGCCTGCAAGCCAGCCCCGAGGCTGCTAACTGCGAAGACAGTGGCGTGAGTGCAGTGGGCTCCAGGGAAGAGAGATGTGGCAGCGTGCTTCCATGAAGATTACAGGCACCGGAACCCTGTGGGTCAGTTCTGCTCTCTCACTAGGGTTGCTATGAGTCAGAATGGGCTCAATGGGAATAGGTTATTATATTATTTACGCAGGTATAAATATTTATATGTGTATATATATGCTTCAAAACGTTCATGGAAAATGGAATTAAAAAATGGAATTTTCCATGTAGTTTTTGAAGCTACACACACATATACACATGTATATACCTACATCACACATATGTATAGATGTGAATTTCTGTGTGTAGGGGAGGGGAGTATAATTAGAGATAGAATCCGAAGATGACAGACACAGTCTGCTAAAGGTGGCTCTAAAGGACCCATGGGAGCAAAATCATTTCAACCCTGTCTGGGTACCCATGACGTCACATCCAGAAAACGTGGGCATGTCTGTTGCCAGCAGAGCCCCGGGCTTCCCAGGGGCCTGAGGACTTCTCCTCAGTGAGTGCTTATTCCTGCGACCTCAGGAAGGGCTGGGCAAAGTCACAGGTGGCCCTTGTCTCTGTTCCAGCAGGGAAAGGAGGCTGGCCATCATTGGGGGACAGTCTGTGGAGGAGAGTGTCACTCTGGACTACCCTCTTCCACTTGGGCACATTGGTGTGGCTATGTCGATTTAGCAGATAAACTATTAGTGTTTTACAAATTCTGATGCATGCAGTAGACAGGCTACTGACATGCCAGTCAGACACAGTGATTGCCTTGCTTCCCTACCAATAAATAACCTGCACTCACATGACACCCCCTCCCTGTCCCCTAGCTGTGCCTCAAGCCTTCCTGTGACCCAGTCCTTTTGGGGTTTATGTTCAGCACATAAGGCCCTGCTCTGCCGGTCAACACCATCTGAGTCTTTTGACACGCCCTGCAGGGCCTGGAGCAGGGTAAGGTGGAGGCGCTGGCCCTGAGGTGAGCAGCCTGTTAGAGACACACACACAGACATGCACAAATTTCTCCCTTGGAAGGGAGAAAGCAAGGATGCTTACCCACAATCATGCCGACCTCACACCGGTGGTCTTCATAGTAACAAGATATCATGGTGGCCACAGTGTCATTCACCATCGCGACCACATCCATCTCAAAGTCCTGCCAAGGAGCACAGAGGCAGCAGCGATGTAGTGGGGAGGCATCTCGGGCCTCCTCTCTGTCCTCCAGGCAGGCGGAGAAGGCTTGGACCTGACCTACAGGTGAGGAGCGAGGAAGGGAGGGAGAGACAGAGAGAGACAGAGAGATAGCGACAGAAACAGAAGTGCCTGGAGGGGGAAGGCCCAGGGCAGCTCAGCGGCAGGTGAAGATGCCATCTCACCCCTCTCCGTTTGATGGCGTCTCTCAGAAGCCCCACAATGTTGTTCCCTTCTGCTCCCGAGGCCTTGAAGCCCTTGGTCCAGTTGAGAAGGATGCCCTGTGGGAATAGGAGGGCCCTCAGAGGCCGCTGCTGGCCAGTGTGGTGGTCACGGGTGTAGGGCCTTTCATTCAGCACTCGTTTGGGGAAGGGAGTGAAGGGACAGGTAGCTACCTGGAACCACAGGGACATGCAGCTCCGAGTCCCAGTTGAGGAAATGAGGGTTTAGAGTAGTGACAATGGAGGAGCGTTTGGAGAGAATCCTCCATGAATACATTATATTTCTGCATTTCTAGGTTGCAACTCGTTTTAAAATCTTTCTATTTGAAGACATTTCTGGACAGTTGAGCTTCGAGACAGCATTCCAGAATAAAGATAAGGTCCAGGGTTGGCATGAACCGTGGCAAGGGGTTTGTTGGATGAAACGCGTGGCTGCTGAAGCCAGCCAGCATGATTGAATTTTGGCACTGCCACATCCCAGTAGGCAGGGTCCCCAAATGCTGGACCTCTTTGCCGACTCCCCCTTCCCCGTGGTCCTACCTTGTCGATGTCTTCATGCCTCACAGGGAAGGAGAAGGTGAAGCCCAAAGGCAGCTTCTTATGCTTCATCTGATGCTTGTCCAGGAAGTCGGATATGCACTCGGAGACGTAGTCAAAGAGCTGGAAGATGCAAACCCAGGTCGACTTCCAGGAGAGGCCCGCTCTTACCACCAAGGGTGTGCCAGCAGGCGACGACCCCACTGGGCTCAGTGCGGAGCGACAGGTCCCAGAAAGGCATTGACTCTGTGTCTGCCACTGAACGCCACGCCTGTCCGTGGCTCCTCTTTCCTGATGTCCAGTTTGTGGAGATTCAGGCCTTGGGCCCGATGCCACGGTCTTGGGTTGTCAGCCTTGCCCTTCCAACTGGACCCAGTGAGAAGCAGCCTCAGGCCGGACTGTGACTACCATTTCTGTGCCCAGGACCCAAGCTCTTTTGCTATCGCCAGGTCTCCCGGCTATCCCACCCTGGCCCGTGGAGAACCAGGCTCTCTCCGGTCTCTACCTGTGGTCCTATCCACAGAACTGGGCATTCACAGCAGCCTCTGCTTGGGGACCATGTCACGTGCTGGGTGCTGGAACCCAGGTGTGTGCCAGCCGTACTATGCCCACTTTGCTTCCCTTCTGGTCCCTGGACAGACAGTTCACCGGGAGTGCAGCGAGGACTGGAGTGCTGTGGGCCCTTTGCCTGTCTTGAAACGCTTCCCTCAGGAAGACTGGGTTCTGTGTGGTGCCTGGCAGGTGGCTAGGGCCTGCAGTGCCACCCTTCTACGCCCACCTTCCTCCAGAGCTCACTTAAAGACTCGTGCTGCTCTTCTGGCTCTGACGCTGTCAGCAGGCCTGGCTGCTTGGGCGGACTGCAACCGCAAGACCACGTGTGTCCGATCCCATTTCTAGTCACCACATGTTGGCTCTTTGGACAAATGGGACAGGGTTTTTACCCCATGGTAGTTGAGGCCACTACTCCCCTTCAACCTGCTAGCTCCTCCAACGCTGGCCAACCAGATGATGTCCTGGGAGCGAACGGGCCATGTCTAGTGCAGAATGTCGGAGGCCTCTCCTCAGCCTGCTTAGCTCCCTCTGAGGTGGGAGGGGGTGGGGGAAGGATTCTCCTCCCACCTCAGACAGGGGCTCCGACAGTGATGAACCCCCCGCTGAATCCCGAGCTCACCATCTCCGCCGTGCCCGTCATGGCATCCTCGGGGATGGAGTACATCTGGTGCTTGGTTTTGACGCTCCACTGCCCGGCCTCGCCTTCGCCCACCTTCACCAGCATCACCCTGAAGTTGGTGCCGCCCAGGTCCAGAGAGAGGAAGTCCCCGACTTCTACAGTCCAAGGAGAAGCTCATCAGTCTGCTGGGGTCCACCAACTCCCAAGGCCAAGGGGGAAAGTGGGCCCAGGAAGGGCTCAGGGGAGCCCAATGAGTCAGAAACCTGGCTTAAAGGAATATTCGTCAGCTCAGGGTCAGCTAGAGACTTGAGATGACCCAGACCAGTCTGAAGGCCAACATGAGGCTGGTCTTAGAGGCTGAACTGGCTCCACCTCATGTGACCAGGGGCAGTCAGCCTCTCATAAGTGAGATGATATGACAAAGGTCGGTTTTATTGACTATCACAGGAGGCCGAAAGCCTTGAAGGTCAGCCCTGGGGGCCAAGGGTGAGGACCTGCACAGGTCTGGGCCTAAGGTGTTGGGGCCTCATCACTTACTTCTGGAGAACCCGTGGTGCCCCTGCTAAGGGGATTGTCCTGCTGCAAGAGTGAGGGCCCCTCGGGCCACTGGACTCAGAGTGGGAGAGTGCCCACCAGAAGGAGGAGCTGGCCCTGTGCCCTGCGTCCCTTCACCTTAGCCCTCATCCCTGTCCCTCCACCCTGCCCCTGGGCACACACCATCAACCTCAGTCTCTCCATTCCTGTCCCTGTGCCGCATCTCCACACCGCTGTTCCTGTAGCCCATTCCTCCGCCCTTGTCCCTTCACCCTGTCCCCGTGCTCCATCTCCCTCTATCTGTACCCCACTCTTCTACTACTGACCCTGTGCCGCATCCTTGTCCCCCTTCTCCGCCCCCCCCCCCGACCCTGTGCTCTGGCCCTCACCCCATTTTTGTGCCCATCCTCCACCTTGCCTTGCACCCACCCCAGCCCCAGGACAATTGCTCAACCCCGACTCTCCCCTCCTGTTCCTGCACTCTCTGCACCCACTCCCCGAGCCCCTTCTCAGCGTCCTTGATCTGGGGCCCCATCCTTCCCTTGGTCCTTGGTCCTTGGGCTCCTTTCCCTCAACCTGTATCCCTCC